GGAGATGGGGAAAGTGATTACTTGACAGTGAGCTTAAATCTGGAATCCTTAATCAGGGATGCAAACCCTTCGTTTTCCGGCGATATTTGCCATTTTGATCTCAATAGGCCATCCACGTGAATCGTGTAGATCCGAAGAAAAAAGTTTGTGGCTTGGGAAGGGGTCTGTTTCTCATATCGAAATCATTGACTGAGCACAGAATTCACCCCTACATGTTATATCCTCCTGATTCCTGCTTACAAGCAAAAACTCAAAACAGGAAGTACCAGTAACTCGCTCAATACGGAAATGGTCAGATGAAGCGGATGCTAAGCTACAGGACTGTTTCGCTAGCACAGACTGGAATATGTTCCTGGATTCATCTGATGGCATTGAGGAGTTTACCATATCAGTCACCGGCTTCATTAATAAGTGCATCAATGACGTCGTCCCCACAGTGACCGTACGTACAGTGCTTTCGGAATGTATTCAGCCCCCTTGACTTTTTCCAAATGTAGTTATGTTACAGCCTTAAAAAAATAAAATCTAATCAATCTACACACAATACCCCATAATGACAAAGCAAAAACAGATCTTCTGATTTTTTTGGCAAATTTATACAAAATAAAAACCGGAAATATTACATTTACATAAGTATTCAGACCCTTTACTCAGTACTTTGTTGAAGCACCTTTGGTAGCGATTACTTATTGGGTATGACGCTACAAGCTTGGCACACCTGTATTTGGGTGGTTTCTCCCATTTTTCTCTGCAGATCCTCTCAAGCTCTGTCAGGTTGGATAAGGAGCGTCGCTGCACTGCTATCTTCAGTTATCTCCAGAGATGTTCGATCGGGTTCAAGTCCGGGCTCTGGCTGGGCCAGTCAAGAACATTCAGAGACTTGTCCCGAAGCCACTCCTGCGTTGTCTTGGCTGTGTGCTTAGACTCGTTGTCCTGTTGGAAGGTGAACCTTTGCCCCAGTCTGAGGTCCTGAGCTCTCTGGAGCAGGTTTTCATCAAGGGTCTCTGTACTTTGCTCCGTTCAACTTTCCCTCAATCCTGACTAGTCTCCCAGTCCCTGCCGTTGAAAAACATCCCCATAGCATGATGCTGCCACCACCATGCTCCACCGTAGGGATGGTGCCAGGTTTCCTCCAGACCAAGTTCAATCTTGGTTTCATCAGACCAGAGAATCTTGTTTCTCATGGTCTGAGAGTCCTTTAGGTGCCTTTTGGCAAACTCCAAGTGGGCTGTCATGTGCCTTTTACTGAGGAGTGGCTTCCGTCTGGCCACTCTACCATAAAGGCCTGATTGGTGGAGTGCTGTAGAGATGGTTGTCCTTCTGGAAGGTTCTCCCATCTCCACAGAGGAACTCTGGAGCTCTGTCAGGGTGACCATTGGGTTCTTGGTCACCTCACTGACCAAGGCCCTTCTTCCCCGATTGCTCAGTTTGGCCGGGCGGCCAGCTCTAGGAAGAGTCTTGGTGGTTCCAAACTTGTTCCATTTAAGAATGATGTAGGCCACTGTGTTCTTGGGGACCTTCAATGCTGCAGAAATGTTTTGGTACCCTTCCCCAGATCTGTGCCTCGACACAATCCTGTCTCGGAGCTCTACGGACAATTCCTTCGACCTCATGGCTTGGTTTTTGTCAACTGTGGGACCTTATATAGACAGGTGTATGCCCTTCCAAATCATGTCCAATCAATTGAATTTACCACAGGTGGACTCCAATCAAGTTGTAGAAACATCTCAAGGATGATCAATGGAAACAGGATGCACCTGAGCTCAATTCCGAGTCTCATAGCAAAGGGTCTGAATACTTATGTAAATAAGGTATATATATTTATTATTTTGAATGCAGTGTACATATCCCAACCAGAAGCCAAGGATTACAGACAACATCCACACTGAGCTAAAGGCTAGAGCTGCCGATTTCAAGGAGTGGGACACTAATCCGGATGCTTATAAGACTGTTACGCCCTCTGACAAACCATCAAACAGGAAAAGCGTCAATACAGGACTAAGGTCGAATCCTACTACCTGGCTCTGACGCTCGTCGGATGTGGCAGGGCTTGCAAACTATCACAGAGTACAAAGGGAAACCCAGCCGTGAGCTGCCCAATGACGTGAGCCTACCAGAAAGCTAAATGGTTTCTCTGCTCGCTTCGATTCAAGCAAAACTGAACCATGCATGAGAGCACCAGCTGTTCTGGACGACTGTGTGATCACGCTCTCCGTAGCCGATGTGAGTAAGACCTTTAAACAGGTTAACATTCACAAGGCCAGACAGATTTCCAGGACGCGCACTCCGAGCATGCGTTGACCTCTATACCAGGCGGTGTCAGAGGAAGGCCCTAAAAATTGTCAAAGACTCCAGCCACCCAAGTCTGGAACCGAAAGGATCCTGAACAGCTTCTACCCCCAAGCCATAAGACTTCTAAATAGTTAGTCCGGGTAGCTATTTAGTTAAGTATTTAACTATCTGCATTGACTCTTTTTGCACAAAGTTTTTTGACACACACTCTTCTGCTACTGTTTATTATCAGTCACTTATTCCTAGTTATATGTACATATCTGTACGGACCCCTGCACATCGACTTGGTACTGGTACTCCCTGTATATAGCCAAGTTATAGTTACGCATTGTGTATTTATTACTTTTATTATTAAGTGTTTTACTTTTCTATTATTTCACAATTTTCTTTCTCTCTGCATTGTTGGGAAGGGCCCGTAAGTAAGCATTTCACTGTTAGTCTACACCTGATGTTTACGAAGCATGTGCCAACATTTTTTTTGATTTGACATCAAACAGAGTTCAGAGCGTGATGTCAGATATGTCATATCAGAATGAGTGCTTCATCCAATATCACGTGTGACAGCTGTGATCAGCCAGCCACATCCCCTCCCAGCCGTCACCTGCTTCTCTCCATCAGCTTATTCTGCGCATCTCCATCAGCTTTATATTTCATTTAGCCGTGATGGCAAGCTGGGGTGTGAAGACACTTATCAGTCTTCTGTTGTTGCATTTGTTTCTAATTATTGGAGCAGCTCGCAGCCTGTTAGAACCAAGAGCACAAGACAGTTTGACTAGGCTTCGCTTTCACACAGCCTCTGAGGGAAGGGAAAATGGGATACCTAGTCAGTTGTACAACTGAATGCATTCAACTGAAATGTCTTCTGTATTTAAGCCAACCCCTCTGAATCAGTACCATAACAGAGCACAGTGACAGTCATGCTTGTGCCATTACATCACTGAAAACCGGATCTCTAGGCCAAAACATTCAAAAGTTTTACCCTTTCCCCTTTCTACCACAATTCACACACATTTGATATAATTTCATAAACCACTCGCGGGCCGCTAATTGTTGGTTTGCAAACCAACAGCCTTGTTTAGTCATGTTACCTAGCTAGCTTAACAACCTGCTAACAACCTGGTAACTTGACCAATAGGCTATGCACCAATTTGGGTGGCACAGGAAGAACAGAAAAGAGATTGATAGCCCACTCAAAGAGATGTGCTTCAAAGGTAGGATACATATGCCTAGCTATATCTTAAGCAAAATCTATTTATTTTTCTGGTGTTCCTTAAATTCTGTTTGGTGCTTAACTTTTCTATGTTGGGAGCAGTGTGAAGTTAAATTCAATGTGTTGTATTGAGTTAGTTGTGAATATCAGGGACAGGTTTTTATGTAGCACACATGCAGAACGTATAGAAAATGGGAACAGACGTCCTGGGGGCGGGGCGAACAGGGTGCTACATATTTTATTTCCGTGTTATCACAATAGACCTACTACTCAGTATCGTGATACTACTCAGTATCGTGCTACTTGGCCTGGTATTGCATCCTTAGTCAAATGTTGGTATCGTGACAACACTACTCTGAAAATAAGCACATGTTTGGGCCCTCACCAGTTTGTATCCCTGTTAATGGTCAAACTGCCACGTCCATTTGTGATATTACAACAACCAAGACTGCAAACAAGGAACACTGTTTCTTTCCCCTCTGACATCATTGCATGTGTGATAGAACAGCAGCATATGTACTGCCATTTTGTTTTACCATGATGCTCGACGCGCCCCAGCTCTACTTCCTCAACAAAACAATAACAACCTGTTTCCCCTACTGCAGATTCCATCTTTAAGACAGCGAACACAATTTATAACCTCAATGTTGCTCTTCTCTTCACATTTAACTTCCCTTTCTCATCCTTCCCTTCTTCTGCTCATCCCCATCTCTCCCCCTCTCTCCATCCCCCTCTCCCCATCTCTCCATCCCCCTCTCTCTATCTCTCCCCCTCTCTCCATCCCCCTCTCTCTATCTCTCCCCCTCTCTTCATCCCCCATCTCTCTCTCCCCCCTTTCTCTCTCCCCCTCTCTCCACCCCCCTCTCTCTATCTCTCCCCCTCTATCTCTCCATCTCTCATCCCCCTCTCTCTATCTCTCCCCCTCTCTCATCGCCCCCCACCCTCTCTCTATCTCTCCCCTCTCTCCATCCCCATCTCTCATCCCCCGTTCTCATCTCCCCTCCTCTCGCAGCCCCATCTCTCTTCCTCTCCCCCTCTCCTCATCCCTCCCCCTCTCTCTATCTCTCCCCCTCTCTCCCTCCCCCTCACTCTCTATACTCCATCTCTCATCCCCCTCTCTCTCTCTCTCCAACCCCCTCTACCACCCCTCCCCTCATCCCCCTCTCTCCATCCCCCTCTCGTCCATCCCCCTCTCTCCATCCCCCGTCTCCCCTCTCTCCATCTCTTCCCCTCTCTGCCATCCCTCTCTCCTCTCCATCCCCCTCATCCATCTCTCCTCTCCATTCCCCTCTCTCGATCTCTCCCCTCTCGCTATTCTAGCACCGCTCTCTCATCTCTCCATCCCCCTCTTTCTATCTCTCTCCATCCCCCTCTCCCCCTCTCTCCATCCCCCCTCTCCATCTCTCCATCTCTCCATTCTCTCTCCTCCTCTCTCCATCGCTCCATCCCCCTCTCGCTATATCCCCCTATCTTGATCTCTCTATCTCTCCATCCCTCTCTATCCCCCTCTCGTTCTCCCTCTCAGTCGCTCCTTGAGGCCCACGACATGGTAGCCTCTAAGTGCTATGAGGCCGTGCCCCCAGCTGAGCTGTCTAATGAGGCGCTGGTGAACAGTTCTCTGATGCAGGCCGATGCTGTACGCATGATCGGCATCCGCAAGAAGGCTGGAGAACCACTGGTGAGCGAGTGAGAGAGTGAGTGTGGGAGAGATCGAGAGGGAGAGAGATGGAGAGTTTGTGTGTGCGTTTCTGCATCTCTGCAATGATTTCATTGACCATCTATCTGTTCCTTCCCTCTCTCAGGGAGTGACGTTCAGAGTGGAGAAGGAGGAGCTGGTCATCGCTAGGATCCTCCACGGAGGGATGATTGACAGGCAGGGTCTGCTGCACGTGGGTGACATCATAAAGGAAGTGAATGGGCGGGACGTAGGGAACAACCCCACTGAGCTGCAGGAGATGCTGAAGGACTGCAGCGGAGGAATCACTCTGAAGATACTGCCTAGTTATAGAGATGCACCCGCCCCACCACAGGTACACACACACACACACACACACACACACACAGCACATGCAGGAACACACATGGACGCACACATGTGCCCTCACACACTCAAGGATTCATTCTCTCTCTCTCTCTCTCTCTCTCTCTCTCTCTCTCTCTCTCTCTCTCTCTCTCTCTCTCTCTCTCTCTCTCTCTCTCTCTCTCACCCGTCACATACATCACTTAAACAGCCACATGGATGCATACAATCACGCAGGTCCACACACAGACACACACACTCACAGCTTTCTCCTATTTGGCTGTGTAAAAGCTGCAGATGTTTGGTGGTGGTGGGAGACTGGTGGTGAAGTGAGTCCTGGGGCTGTCCCAAAATGCCCTGCTCTGGAATCTGAACCCTGGCTGAGAGCCCTGTTAATAACACTCCACATGATATCTGGGCCAGGGAGACACACACACACACAACATTGAACACGTAGACACATGCCGGCATGCACGTAGACCCAGACACACAGAAAAACACACACACACACAGACACACAACCATGAAACAGTTACTGTACTCTGGCATGCATGCTCACACACACATATGCACTGTACACACACAAGTCTATCCTGACACCTGCTCTACAAGTAGTGCAAACAAGCACACACACCAACGGACACACACACACACACACACCCCAATAGACACACATGCATGCATGCTCTTACTGAACAGACACACACCCACACTGTACATACTCACACACATCCAGTCCGGATCTTGTTTTAGTGTTTCTGTCTGGCTGCCAGTGTAAGATGACAGTGCCCAGACCACGCACCTCTCTTGGCAAATACCTCTGTTGGCATGATGTGAACGCCTGTGATCTGTCCTGCACTAGATATCTCATATGGTGTGTGTGTGTACAGTATAAACATGCACTTAGTGCTGCTTTAAACCCAAACTTCACTCTTATCTCTAACACTTCAAAACACTAATCCTTCCACTAAACTTATCTACCTAGCTGTTGTGTATAGAGAAAGACTAGATTGACTGTATATAGTTATAGTTTGGTTGTAGAAGCATTACATTTTAGTCATTTAGCAGATGCTCTTATCCAGAGTGACTTACAGTTAGTGAGTGCATACATTATTTTTTATACTGGCCCCCCGTGGGAATCGAACCCACAACCCTGGCGTTGCAAACGCCATGCTCTACCAACTGAGCTACATCCCTGCACCATTGAAGCACCATTGATTAACATCAAACCTCCCTTTTCTCAGGTGTACGTGCAACCACACTTTGACTACGATCCAGCAAATGACCATCTCATCCCATGCCGAGAGGCGGGGATTGGCTTCAAGAGGGGGGACCTCCTTCAGATCGTCAACAGGGAGGACCCCAACTGGTGGCAGGTGATGATGGTGGTGATCCTCAACAACAACAATAAATAGTTTTTTTTGTACTGGTTTCTACTGGTTTGTAACTTCTTCTGGTCTCTACTGGTTTATACTGGTCTCTACAGATTTTACTGGTTTCTACTGGTTGGGTGAGACAATTGTTCTGATGTCTGGTGTGCTCTCCTGTGCTAGGCGTGTCATGTGGTTGGTGGAGCCACTGGACTGATCCCCAGTCAGTTCCTGGAGGAGAAGAGGAAAGCCTTCGTCCCACGAGACTTTGACGGCTCAGGTACAGCTTGACTTTGCCTCCTAGCTTCATTCTCAGCTAGATGAGCTAACCTGAGCTGACTGGCAACTGTGTGTGGATCTTTTACATAATGTAGCCAATGACTGCTTGGATTTGAATCAGTGGAGAGCACTTACTTTGAATTGTTTAGTTGGTCTGCCACTGTGAGGTAGCCTTGCCTGCCAGGCTGAGGTCAATGAGGTCATGAGATAATTACTCAGTAACGCTCCATAGAATGGGTTATGGTGCCCCCTTCTGGCCTTCAGATGCAAAGACAGATAGGAAAGATACTTGCACCTGTATTGATGTGTGAATTGATATGTGTATTGATGTGTGATTATGTGTGTTTTTGTGTGCAACAGGGATCCTGTGCGGTACGATAACTGGAAAGAAGAAGAAAAAGATGATGTACCTAACAGCCAAGAACGCAGGTGAGCATTCATACTCGTCTCTCATTGACTGATTCTGTCATGGCTCATTCTTCTAATTGGTTTTGTGCTGGGGCTTCCTGACTGTGTAGTTCCCCATTTACTAATCTGCATTTTACGTTTCCTATTTCCTTATTTTATTGACTGACACCACTACATTCTCCTCTGTGATTGGCTAACTCTTGTGTGTTCCTCTCTGTGATTGGCTGAGGGCAGAGTTTGACAGGCACGAGCTGCAGATCTATGAGGAGGTGGCCAAGATGCCCCCGTTCCAGAGGAAGACTCTGGTTCTGATTGGAGCCCAGGGGGTGGGCCGCCGCAGCCTCAAGAACCGACTGGTGGTCCTCAACCCAACATGCTTCGGAACCACCATCCCTTGTGAGTCAAGAACCCATACCGTTCTAATTCTATGCTAGAACCCCCCTCCAGAACCTAATGGACCACTGTACTCTCAGGACACTGTCAGAACAGACAGAAACCCTGGAGAACATTTCATTTGGCTGCTTTAAGTTAGCCTGTCTCGTGATCTTCCCCGTTGCTCCACTGTTCTTCTCGCATTCATGTTCATTCTCTCTCCATCTCTCTCCCACCTCCCTTTCGATTCTCTCAAACGCCTTTTCTCTTCTTGCCCCACCTCCCCCCCGCCTTCCTCCCTCTCTCTCTCTTCTTGTCTCTCCTCTCCTCCCTCCCTCAGTCACCTCCCGGCGTCCCCGTGACGATGAGCTGGACGGTAAGTCGTACCGGTTTGTGACGCGGACGGAGATGGAGGCGGACGTGAAGGCGGGCGGCTACCTGGAGCACGGGGAGTACGACGGGAACCTCTACGGAACCAAGATGGACTCCATCCACGAGGTGGTGGACACGGGCCGCACCTGCATCCTGGACGTCAACCCACAGGTCACAATCAAATCAAATCAAACTTTATTTAAAGTGCATTTAAAAAGCCCAAAACATAGTTTTACTGTAAAAAGAAAAAAAGACTGTATAATCCTACTATGAGATACTGTACATGGTCTGGTTGTCTCTGTCTGTCTGTATGTATGTATGTATGTATGTATGTATGTATGTATGTATGTATGTATGTATGTCTGTGGATATCTTTATCATCTTTAGCTGGTTCACTGACCCTCTGTCTGGACTGTAGGCTCTGAAGGTACTAAAGACAGCAGAGTTCATGCCGTATGTGGTGTTCATCGCAGCACCAGAGTTTGAGACGCTCAAGGCCATGCACAAAGCTACAGTGGATGCTGGAATCACCACCAAACAACTCACGGTCAGAACCTTTTCCTGGGCATAGACACTGAGCCACTTATTCCCAGAGTATTTTCACGTTGTTTTCTGGTATCCTTCCATTGTTATGTGATTTTAGGGCGTTATGTTGTTTTTTATGGAACATTCTCTCGCTAGAACACATAGTGTACTGTGCTTGTTATCCACTGCTTCTCAGGAAGATGCACACACCGAGAGAGAGACACACACACACACACACACACTCACCCTCTTGTCTCTGTCCCTGTCAGGATGTGGATCTGAGGAAGACTGTTGATGAGAGTGCTCGTATCCAGAGGACCTACAACCACTACTTCGACCTCACCATCACCAACGACAACCTGGACCGCGCCTTTGAGACGCTACAGGCTGCCGTCGACAAACTCTGCTCCGAACCACAGTGGGTCCCTGTCAACTGGGTCTACTGAACCCCAACCGGACACTGTCTGACCGGTCAACTTGACCGTGCATGTGTTCGACCACAGAGACAGGGGAAAGAAAAGGAGAAAGGGACTTTGATGGGAAAAACCAAACCAACCGCCTCATCCCTCCTCCTCTCTCCCTTTGTCCTGCACACAATGCAAATCTTTTCTACTCGAAACTCAAAGGGAAATAGTTCTTATTTATTTTAATATTTGTAACTTTTTACGAAATATCTTTCTATTCATACCAACGTGGAATTCAGAAACATTCAAAAAAGAAACATCAAGGCCATATTTATTTGTTGTTGTGTTAGTTTTTTGTAGTTGTTCCTCTGAGAACGGATGTTTTTTTTCTTCTCCGAGGACCGCTCTAGAAATAGTTTTTATTATTGTTATATCAACACAGGTCAAGAAGGAAGATGACACTATGGAATATTCCAGAACTCTGAGCAGTGTTGCCAAGGAAACCTGTTTACGGCACGCGTTATTGCCATGACAACTAGCGTGTCTCAGTCCAAATCCTGTGAAGCCCCCTCTTGTGATTGTCATAGGACCTCCCACCCCCCCTCCAAAGAAAATCCCCTACAGTGACCTGTAGTATGTACTGTAGCTGGCTACCCCTTGATCTGTTTGTGTTTACCTCTTTAGAATTATGACTTAAGCAACAATTAACTTGTTGTCTGAATATCTATCCCTCACACATCCTACAAAGACAATGAAGGAAAAAAGCTTTACACTTTACATTGTAGTATTGAAGATCAGGATCAAAACACTGTGTCTGTGTTTCACTCACTTTGAGTTGTCTGTGCTTTTATTTTATTACCGTATGATTCACTGTCTTTGGTTGCTATGATGATCTTTTTAGCTTAGTGACATTTGTCTCCCATGATCCTTTGCTTTGTGTTGTTGTTTTCTAATATTGAACAAATACTACATCCTGTTTTGAAGCGTTCTGTCTGTGTTGTGTCGACAGCATGACCATCAGAATACCACTCACCATCTACCCTAATCTGCATGTAAGGTGCTTATTGTTGTTTTTTAATCTGTGGCTATCGCACAGTCCTCTCCTCCAGTATCACAAAGCTCCAAAGCCCTCCTGTGCTGTAACCTAAATACTACATTCTGACTGTTTCCTGTGGTCACTCTGAAAGATGTCCCAACTCGTGACCAATAACATACATCTCTAATAGTAATACATTGTTACAATAAATTAACTGAAATTGAGCTAGAAAGTTGTCCTTTTTTGTTTTGGGTGATGGCTATGTTTAGTTTATATTTAGTGCGGTAATATTTAAAGCCATTCAGAGACAATGGATGGTTCATAAATATACAGTATATGTTATTAAAAATACACAGCATGCATAGTTTTGTGGCAGCATTGCAACTATGTAGAATTGTGAAATGACAGAATGCACAATATTTATATACTACTGAAAAGCATGATAATCTAACACATAGCAATATGCTAATGACTTGATGTTTAACAGAGGGGATACGTCTACATACAGTACATACTCATTCTGACAAAGCCATACCACTACATCTAACAGTACCAGCAACTGGGATGACTCACTAGAAATCAGTAGAAATCTATAATATGAGTCCATAATCTCACAAGTTTTACTTATTGTCTGTATATAGTGGTATATTCATAAACTTAATAAACATTTCATTTAAGCAACATGATATATTAAAATAAGCAAATTCATTTCTCTTTTGGAATAAAAAAATATTCTGTATACATGTTTTATCTGTATGAGCATGCAGAAAGAACGTAAAGCTTATTTTGAAATAATAGGGTGTAAGAGCAGCATTTTAGTGCATTGAGATTGAGAAGTCTGCTTGTCCAGCTTTTGAAAAGTGTTTGAGAACAGAAGTCTTACTTCACATTCTGGAGTGGATTGTTTTACGGCTAATCAAAAAAAGTATATGGTTTCATTGAGAATTAGTAAACATTTGTAAGTGCCACCAAATATACATAATTCATTGAGTGCATATAGGGAAAACACACAAGTGAAACACTGGAGTTTCACACAAAATGTCATATATTTTAAACATACCCATCCATCCATACACACACCCTACCCCTTCCCAGTGTACAGAGATGTCAGTCCTTGCACAGCGATGCACATGACCAATGGAAACACTCCTGGCATTTTTCCGGTCTCCGCCCAAAGCCTGTCAGTCTCTCTCCGCAGCATCACATTGGATGAGAGGAGGAGCTGCTCTGCCCATTGGAATGCCCCCTTGTCCTGCAAGGGGTGGGGCAGTGACTCAAGGGGGAGGGACTGACCGTTTACCTTTAGCTTGATCACCTGTGGGACAGACAACAAGTAAGGTACAGGGCAAAGTCTACAGTAGAATTCATCATGACCACTGTCTGGGTATAACATAGTTCTAAACTAATAATGGATCAGAGTATACATATCAAAGTATTTTATTTGTGATAGAGTTGTTTAGTTTATATGAATTAAAGGAGTCGTGAATCGTAAAATAATATAAAGTGACTGGGGAATTGTATAGTGAATTAAATCAGACTGACCATAGTGTTGAGGGCTTCAGTAGTGAATGATGAGTCGTGTAAAGTGACTGGTGAATTGAATCAGACTGAACAGAGTGGTGAGGGCTTCAGTAGTGAATGATGAGTCGTGTAAAGTGACTGGTGAATTGAATCAGACTGAACAGAGTGGTGAGGGCTTCAGTAGTGAATGATGAGTCGTGTAAAGTGACTGGTGAATTGAATCAGACTGAACAGAGTGGTGAGGGCTTCAGTAGTGAATGATGAGTCGTGTAAAGTGACTGGTGAATTGAATCAGACTGAACAGAGTGGTGAGGGCTTCAGTAGTGAATGATGAGTCGTGTAAAGTGACTGGTGAATTGAATCAGACTGAACAGAGTGGTGAGGGCTTCAGTAGTGAATGATGAGTCGTGTAAAGTGACTGGTGAATTGAATCAGACTGAACAGAGTGGTGAGGGCTTCAGTAGTGAATGATGAGTCGTGTAAAGTGACTGGTGAATTGAATCAGACTGAACAGAGTGGTGAGGGCTTCAGTAGTGAATGATGAGTCGTGTAAAGTGACTGGTGAATTGAATCAGACTGAACAGAGTGGTTGAGGGCTTCAGTAGTGAATGATGAGTCGTGTAAAGTGACTGGTGAATTGAATCAGACTGAACAGAGTGGTGAGGGCTTCAGTAGTGAATGATGAGTCGTGTAAAGTGACTGGTGAATTGAATCAGACTGAACAGAGTGGTGAGGGCTTCAGTAGTGAATGATGAGTCGTGTAAAGTGACTGGTGAATTGAATCAGACTGAACAGAGTGGTGAGGGCTTCAGTAGTGAATGATGAGTCGTGTAAAGTGACTGGTGAATTGAATCAGACTGAACAGAGTGGTGAGGGCTTCAGTAGTGAATGATGAGTCGTGTAAAGTGACTGGTGAATTGAATCAGACTGAACAGAGTGGTGAGGGCTTCAGTAGTGAATGATGAGTCGTGTAAAGTGACTGGTGAATTGAATCAGACTGAACAGAGTGGTGAGGGCTTCAGTAGTGAATGATGAGTCGTGTAAAGTGACTGGTGAATTGAATCAGACTGACCAGAGTGTTGAGGGCTTCAGTAGTGAATGATGAGTCGTGTAAAGTGACTGGTGAATTGAATCAGACTGACCAGAGTGTTGAGGGCTTCAGTAGTGAATGATGAGTCGTGTAAAGTGACTGGTGAATTGAATCAGACTGACCAGAGTGTTGAGGGCTTCAGTAGTGAATGATGAGTCGTGTAAAGTGACTGGTGAATTGAATCAGACTGACCAGAGTGTTGAGGGCTTCAGTAGTGAATGATGAGTCGTGTAAAGTGACTGGTGAATTGAATCAGACTGACCAGAGTGTTGAGGGCTTCAGTAGTGAATGATGAGTCGTGTAAAGTGACTGGTGAATTGAATCAGACTGAACAGAGTGGTGAGGGCTTCAGTAGTGAATGATGAGTCGTGTAAAGTGACTGGTGAATTGAATCAGACTGAACAGAGTGGTGAGGGCTTCAGTAGTGAATGATGAGTCGTGTAAAGTGACTGGTGAATTGAATCAGACTGAACAGAGTGGTGAGGGCTTCAGTAGTGAATGATGAGTCGTGTAAAGTGACTGGTGAATTGAATCAGACTGAACAGAGTGGTGAGGGCTTCAGTAGTGAATGATGAGTCGTGTAAAGTGACTGGTGAATTGAATCAGACTGACCAGAGTGTTGAGGGCTTCAGTAGTGAATGATGAGTCGTGTAAAGTGACTGGTGAATTGAATCAGACTGACCAGAGTGTTGAGGGCTTCAGTAGTGAATGATGAGTCGTGTAAAGTGACTGGTGAATTGAATCAGACTGACCAGAGTGTTGAGGGCTTCAGTAGTGAATGATGAGTCGTGTAAAGTGACTGGTGAATTGAATCAGACTGAACAGAGTGGTGAGGGCTTCAGTAGTGAATGATGAGTCGTGTAAAGTGACTGGTGAATTGAATCAGACTGAACAGAGTGGTGAGGGCTTCAGTAGTGAATGATGAGTCGTGTAAAGTGACTGGTGAATTGAATCAGACTGAACAGAGTGGTGAGGGCTTCAGTAGTGAATGATGAGTCGTGTAAAGTGACTGGTGAATTGAATCAGACTGACCAGAGTGTTGAGGGCTTCAGTAGTGAATGATGAGTCGTGTAAAGTGACTGGTGAATTGAATCAGACTGACCAGAGTGTTGAGGGCTTCAGTAGTGAATGATGAGTCGTGTAAAGTGACTGGTGAATTGAATCAGACTGACCAGAGTGTTGAGGGCTTCAGTAGTGAATGATGAGTCGTGTAAAGTGACTGGTGAATTGAATCAGACTGACCAGAGTGTTGAGGGCTTCAGTAGTGAATGATGAGTCGTGTAAAGTGACTGGTGAATTGAATCAGACTGACCAGAGTGTTGAGGGCTTCAGTAGTGAATGATGAGTCGTGTAAAGTGACTGGTGAATTGAATCAGACTGACCAGAGTGTTGAGGGCTTCAGTAGTGAATGATGAGTCGTGTAAAGTGACTGGTGAATTGAATCAGACTGACCAGAGTGTTGAGGGCTTCAGTAGTGAATGATGAGTCGTGTAAAGTGACTGGTGAATTGAATCAGACTGACCAGAGTGTTGAGGGCTTCAGTAGTGAATGATGAGTCGTGTAAAGTGACTGGTGAATTGAATCAGACTGACCAGAGTGTTGAGGGCTTCAGTAGTGAATGATGAGTCGTGTAAAGTGACTGGTGAATTGAATCAGACTGACCAGAGTGTTGAGGGCTTCAGTAGTGAATGATGAGTCGTGTAAAGTGACTGGTGAATTGAATCAGACTGACCAGAGTGTTGAGGGCTTCTATGACATCAGGGCTAGATTCTCCCAGCAGAGTCAGAGCAGCATCAGGCAACGCTACAGAAACACAAAACACAGGGGTTAGAGAATGCAACACACACATATATACATATACAGTGGGGAAATAAAGTATTTAGTCAGCCACCAATTGTGCAAGTTCTCCCACTTAAAAAGATGAGAGAGGCCTGTAATTTTCATCATAGGTACACGTCAACTATGACAGACAAATTGAGAAAAAATTTCTCCAGAAAATCACATTGTAGGATTTTTTATGAATTTATTTGCAAATTATGGTGGAAAATAAGTATTTGGTCACCTACAAACAAGCAAGATTTCTGGCTCTCACAGACCTGTAACTTCTTCTTTAAGAGGCTCCTCTGTCCTCCACTCGTTACCTGTATTAATGGCACCTTTTTGAACTTGTTATCAGTATAAAAGACACCTGTCAACAACCTCAAACAGTCACACTCCAAACTCCACTATGGCCAAGACCAAAGAGCTGTCAAAGGACACCAGAAACAAAATTGTAGACCTGCACCAGGCTGGGAAGACTGAATCTGCAATAGGTAAGCAGCTTGGTTTGAAGAAATCAACTGTGGGAGCAATTATTAGGAAATGGAAGACATACAAGACCACTGATAATCTCCCTCGATCTGGGACTCCACGCAAGATCTCACCCCGTGGGGTCAAAATGATCACAAGAACGGTGAACAAAAATCCCAGAACCACACGGGGGGACCTAGTGAATGACCTGCAGAGAGCTGGGACCAAAGTAACAAAGCCTACCATCAGTAACACACTACGCCGCCAGGGACTCAAATCCTGCAGTGCCAGACGTGTCCCCCTGCTTAAGCCAGTACATGTCCAGGCCCCTCTGAAGTTTGCTAGAGTGCATTTGGATGATCCAGAAGAGGATTGGGAGAATGTCATATGGTCAGATGAAACCAAAATATAACTTTTTGGTAAAAACTCAACTCGTCGTGTTTGGAGGACAAAGAATGCTGAGTTGCTTCCAAAGAACACCATACCTACTGTGAAGCATGGGGGTGGAAACATCATGCTTTGGGGCTGTTTTTCTGCAAAGGGACCAGGACGACTGATCCGTGTAAAGGAAAGAATTCATGGGGCCAGGTATTGTGAGATTTTTAGTGAAAACCTCCTTCCATCAGCAAGGGCATTGAAGATGAAACGTGGCTGGGTCTTTCAGCATGACAATGACAATGATCCCAAACACACCGCCCTGGCAACGAAGGAGTGGCTTCGTAAGAAGCATTTCAAGGTCCTGGAGTGGCCTAGCCAGTCTCCAGATCTCAACCCCATAGAAAATCTTTGGAGGGAGTTGAAAGTCCGTGTTGCCCAGTGACAGCCCCAAAACGTCACTGCTCTAGAGGAGATCTGCATGGAGGAATGGGCCAAAATACCAGCAACAGTGTGTGAAAACCTTGTGAAGACTTACAGAACACGTTTGACCTGTGTCATTGCCAACAAAGGGTATAAAACAAAGTATTGAGAAACGTTTGTTATTGACCAAATACTTATTTTCCACCATAATCTTCAACACACACACACACACAACACACACACACACACCACACACAACACACACACACACACACACACACACACACACACTCTCACCCTCCAAGGCGCTGACCAGCAGGTGAGTGGCAGTCAGGTGGAGGGGGGTGGATGCTCCATCAGCCTGTATCTGATTTGTTGGGCCTTTCTGGACCAGGTCCAATAGGGTGGAGACAGATTTGTTCTGAGAAACAGACAACTCCTTTACCTCTGTAGGGTCAAGGTCCTTACCTCTACACCAGACCTCCAACTGAGAAAGAGAGAGAGAGAGGAGGGAGAGAGAGAGAGAAAGAGAGAGATGGAATGTTTACTGCTTATTTTTTATTGTTCATTTAACTTTAGTTTATTATCTATTTCACTTGCTTTGGCAATGTAAACATGTTTCCCATGCCAATAAAGCCCTTTGAATTGAGAGAGAGAGAGAGAGAGAGATAAGACAGAGAGATGAAAATGTAATTATATCCAATTCATACTGTGACAGATATGACTGTGTCTGGTCTAAAAAGTCCACAAAACAATGCCATCAGACAAGGGTTGCATCCCAAATGGCACCCTATTCCCTTATAGTGCACTACTTTTGGCCCTGGCCACGGTGCCACTAACCGTGTGTTCCAGAACCGTGAGTGTGGTTCTGTCCACTAGAACCTCACGGAGCCTCTGGAACAGAGTGGACCGGGTCGACTCTGGGAGAACCGCTAACTGACGTAGATAGACCTCCAAGTCCTGCAAGTCTGTAGAGGAGAGGGAGATAAATAACCAATCAGAGCTTGCCTCTTAGGCTCACTTTTCTCATGACACATCATTGACAATATGACGAATAGACCGCGATATGATGCTAACAGAGAAATTCCTCTCAGTCTGTTTCTGTGTGTGAAAATTTCATCAACGTCATTTAAAATGATTACGTTAAATGTTTTTATCCAAAGTAAGGCAAACTCAGCACTGCACTTCCTCTCTCAGTATCATTCATTTGATGAAAAGAGGAAGACACTACCCTCGATTTCTTCTGTAGAATAGCTGTCTAGAGATTTCAATTCCTGTTTTATACATAGGGCATATTGACACACTATCACACACTGACATGTTGGTCAAATCAACTGCTGTATATCTCAACATCAACAAAAAAGGGAACTAAATGATCAACTGACATACCCGGATCAACAATAAATGAATGAATGAATGAATGAATGAAACACACACAAACACACATACTTTTCTGCAATGCGCTGAGTGGTGCTCCTTCAGGAATCTCCTTCTCCGTCCACTCCTGCCCGTCCACAACACACAGGGTATCAAAGGAATCCTGGGATGGCGAGGTCCTCCCAGAGCCTGCCTCGAATCCTCCAAGAGTACCATGCTGTAGACACAGCTCTGAGAGAGAAGGAGAGAGAGAGAGAGAGAGAGAGAGAAGGAGAGAGAAAGAGCGAGAGAGAGAGAGAGGGAGTAAGAGAGAGAAAGAGCGAGAAAGAGAGCGAGAGAGCGAGAAAGAGAGCGAGAGTGAGAAAGAGAGCGAGAGAGAGGGAAAGAGAGGGAATGAGAGAGAGAGAATAAGTAATTTACCTTGTAGAATTGCAACGTAATAGTATCTAGTGGGTGGCACACTCACTCACTCACCATAGTGTCCGTCTTTCCTGACCTCTAGCTCTATGAGGCTGTAGGCGATGACAGTGAGAGGCGGAATCTCCAAGGAAACGTCACTGTCCATCTCTATACTGCTATTCTCCTGCACACACACCTGATATACACACATATAATAACATTTAATAACATGTAACACACACCTGGCATGACACACAAACAAAACAAATATATACTCAATAACACATAGAAAACACGTGTAATAACACAACACACACCTAGTACAATTAACGACATGTTAAAACATGTAATAACACAAATCACACTTCCCAGTCTCTCTCTCTCTTTATCCATCTCTCTCTCTCTCTCCCCCCATCTCTATCTCTCCGTCTCTCTCTCTCACAATCTCTCCGTCTCTCTCTTCCTCTCGTTCTCACTCCATCTCTCCTTTTCTCTCCCCCCCAACCCACCTTTACAGAGTGTGTCCCCAGTTTGCCCAGTAGTCCCAGAACCCCCTGGCAGGTGCCCTGCTCCTGGACCTGTTCTGAGATGGAGCAGGGGGTGGTGGTCAGGATCCTCTCCTTCAACACAGCAAACACCTCCGCACGCTTCTGACACTGCTGCACCAGCACATGCTGCATGTCCACCATCCTACACACAGAGATGTGGGGAAGGAGGTTAAAGAGGTGTAGAAGGATGCGGAGAGGTTTGGAGACAACCTGAGTGGGAAGCTGGACGCCAAGTCTGGGAACATCAGTGTCAATGTGGAGGGGCGGGGCTCCTCCAAGCTCCAATTATCATTCAGAAAGCTGAAGAAGCTACTGCTGGCCTCCAATGACAGGTACTGTACTGCACATAGACATAGATGAATACACAGACTGTATAAAATAAATAATACAAATACTGAGCTGTATCGTATTCTGCCATGTAGGGCCGTGCACACACCTTTCAGTGGGCAGGTGCTCAGTATGAATTCATAACACGGCCCTGCATGGCACCGGTTCCAATCCAAGTGTGAAGGCGTTTCCATTGGATGAAAATGAAAATAGAGGTATTGGAAGGTATTGTAAACCGTGCCAATAATCTTTACCCTTATCTTAATAATAGTGAAGACATCAAAACTATGAAATACTACATGATTCCATATGTGTTATTTCATAGTTTTGATGTCTTCACTATTACTCTACAATGTAGAAAATAGTAAAAATAAAGAAAAACCCTTGATGAGTAGGTGTCTAAAAACTTTTGACTGGTACAGTTTATACAACCACCCAAAAGGGTACTTGGTGAGTGGGAGGGTAAAGGGGCAGGTGCTCGAGCACAGGTAGACCCCTATCTGTGCACATGCCTGGTGCTATGGTCAGATGACATGAAAACAGCGCTCTTTGGCCACGCAGACCAGTGGTGAGTTTGGCGTTGAAAAGAGGAATCATATGCCATTTTCACTGTAGTGTCCAAAACGTCTTTCAAGCTGTCAGGCAGTCCCTTGGCAGCAAGAGCCTCTCGGTGGATGCTGCAGTGTACCCAAGTGGCGTCGGGAGCAACTACTTGCACGCGCCTTACCACTCCACTATGTCTCCCTGTCATGGCTTTTGTGCCATCAGTACAGATACCAACACATCTTGACCACCAAAGTCCATTTGATGTCACAAATGAAGGCATTGTCTGTATCGTTTTTTGGGCCTCTTCCCCCAGCATTGTCCCAGCCATATCCGCGGCAGCAGGAAGAATTAAGTCCTCCACAATAGTATGGGGCTTGCCTGTCTTAGACACTCGGTAGCTCACCATATAAGACGCTTCTAGCCCCTTCTTATTAATGGTATCTGTTGCTTTTATACATGTCTTACTACTCGAAAGTCGTCTTAATTCACGCTCAAAAAAGTCCCGTGGTTATTTTTCAAATTGGCATGTTTCGTTTCTACATTTCTGCACAAGAGTGAAGGTTTCATCGAGTTGTGAGATAGTACTTTTGCACATATAACACATTGTGGCTGAGGAAAGGCACTACTCCCAATATAAGTGAACCCCAAATCAATGTAGTTCTCATCATATTTGCGCCTCTTCGATGGTCCAACGTCCCTGTCTGTTGTTCGGTGCTTTCCCGGGTAAGGGGGCAGTAGCTCTTTGGCTGCATCAGATTCATAACTGTCAGGGTCCATTCTAGCTGGGCTAGCAACAAATGTAGAATGACTGATGCTAGCGTTGGATGTGCTCGTGGAAGCAGAACAACTTGTGTCGTCGACAGGTGCAGGTGTAGTGCTGCTGGTAGGAGCAGTACTACCAGTAGAGCTGGTATGTGTCTCTATGGACGCGGGCTGTACTTTTTTAAAACCGTATCCATTTTCGAGCAAACGGAATGAGCAGCAGCTACGTTTGGCTCCATACGGACCATTAGTGGAATTCCCGCGAGAGAGTGGTCCTCTGTAGCTCAGCTAGTAGAGCACGGCGCTTGTAACGCCAAGGTAGTGGGTTCGATCCCCGGGACCACCCATAAATATAAATAAAAATGTATGCACGTATGACTGTAAGTCGCTTTGGATAAAAGCGTCTGCTAAATGGCATATTATTATTATTATTATTATTAGAGTAGCGGTTAATGTGATTGCATGTTAATTATTTGACTAGGCTACCTGTATTTGACATTGTGTTGTTATTTTGCTGAAGACTAGATGGTTTAATTGTATTTTTGGCAGTGAAACGAGGCTACTCAGGCGAGAAAAAAACATCACCCAAATGTATAGCCCCGTTGGAAAATATAAATGGACTGTTTGAAAATGTGAATCACATTTTTATTAGGCGTACCCCCGACGGCATTGCGCGTACCCCAGTTTGGGAATAGTCACTCTAAAACAACGTTGGAGATGTCTTCAATTCTCTGGCAACAGCTCTGGTGGACATTCCAATTGTACGCTCGCTCAAAATTTGAGACATCTGTGGCATTGTGTTGTGTGACAAAACTGCACATTTTAGAGTGGCCTTCTATTGTCCCCAGCACAAGGTGCACCTGTGTAATGATCATGCTGTTTAATCAGCTTCTTGATATGCCACAGCTGTCAGGTGGATGGATTATCTTGGCAAAGGAGAAATGCTCACTAACAGGGATGTAATCAAATGTGCACAAAATTTGAGAGAAATACGTTTTTTGTGTGTATGGAAAATGTATTTTATTTCCAGCTCATGAAATATGGGACCAACACTTTACATGTTGCATTTATATTTTTGTTCAGTGTATTTATTCTATACAGTCTTTTTTGTTCATCTTTATCAAGGGTGCCAATAATTTTGGACCTAACTGTACATAACCAAAACTGGAGAGACTGGGTCTGGTGAGAAGAAGGAAACAGAAACAGAGATGGAGAGATTTAGGGAGAGAGAAAGAGAGAGAGATGCGGATGCTTGTACAGCATGTATGAATGAGCGTGTGTGTCTGTGTATTAATCTATGTGTATGTTTATTTACAGTACAGTACCTATCATTGGAGGCCAGCAATAGCTTCTGTACATCAACATCCTGCTTCTTCAGCTTGCCGAATGATAATTGGAGCTTGGAGGAGCCCCGCCCCTCCACACTGACACTGAAGTTCCCAGCCTTGGCATCCAGCTTCCCACTCAGGTTGTCTCCAAACCTCCCCTCATAGGACAGGAAGTCTGATTCAGACACGTCTGAGAGAGTACAGAGACAAGTGCCGTATGAAGACAGCGAGTAGGAGTGAGTCAGAGAGGTACTGTATGTCAAATCAAATCCATTTGGCTGTACGACCAACCGGCCTCACAACCGCAGACCACGTGTAACCACGCCAGCCCAGGACCTCCACATCCGGCTTGTGAGGTATGAATGGCTATATGTTTTAGGCAGTTGTGTGTGTGGGCAAAATATGAGATGTACAGTATGTGAGATGTATTTGAGGAGTAACCATGGCCCTACTTTACCTGGAGTGAGTTCTTTGTCTCCTAGCAACAGGTGACTGAGTGTGAAGTCAGAGGGCAGGTACTTGGGCCGTTGCCAGAACCAGAAACGGTTGCGCTTGACGACCAGTGCCATGGGAACCAACTTGTCTGAGTCGTTAAGGCGGGAGACGGAGATCAGGGTTCCATCTGGGTCGATCTGACGAACAAAGTTTGCAGTTGCCTTGGCGAACATCACCTGTGAGGGGTCACAGTTACACACAAATGCCTCTAACACTGGAGTAAGAAGAAGTTGCCCCTGGCACCTCCCATCTCCCACCTTCGTCCTTATTCCCTACCAAAATTAATCATACAAAGATTTTTACCACTATTCTGTTTTTTTGATGATCTCCAAATCTTATACTGTATTTCCCAAAATGTCCCCTTAGAATTCCCCTTCAGATGTGTAGCAGGTGCATGTGTGTGTTGTCCTACTATGTCACTATCACCCAACAGTGTGTTCAAACATAGATCATAGTACTGTATGACTCACTGATTGGACAAGAGGGAAGTCCCCTGTGCTTTGTGAGTGTTAACACCATTAACTGACAACACGCCACCCCCCCTAATTCCATCCCTCGCCCTCCACATTCTAGCAGCTCAGTTTTCATAGCATAAATATTTAAAGCAATCTAGCGAGAGAGCAGGGGAGAGCGAGGGAGGAGAAAGAGAGAGAGAAAGAGGGAGAGAGAGTGAGAAGAGCTTATTACATCTCAGTGTGGAATGTTTCAAATAAACAAGGAAGAAAACATGCAGGATAGGAGAAGGAATGAATAATGAATAGAGAGGGAAAGACGGAGACAGAGAGTAACATCTTCAGTTCAGGGAGAGAGAGAAGAGAGAGAGAAGAGAGAGGGGAGGGATCAAGAGAGATTTGAGGGGAAGGTAGATATCAGTAATATGAGGGGGAAGGTAGATATCAGTAAACAGATATGGAACTATGTATCATCCCAACACTGCCCTACTTTCAGTCTCCCTCAAACCACTGGCTATAACTACCCTGAATCCAGCCTGAATTACAGGTTCTTTCAACGTATTGGCTCATATAGTGGGCAGGAAAATCCCAATTAGGTAAATGGAGGACCTCCTCCCCATCTCTTATAATGCCCACCCACTACTGTAAGTGACTTGAGCCATGAGGAGATCATCACTAGCAAGCGCTTCTGCGCAATAACCAAATAATGCATGACTCGGATTAGGAATTCCAATAAGAAGTGAGAAGTAAATCATTGCTGTTATTGACAGAAAGCCCATCAGTAACATCAGTAACATCATGTATATAAAAGCAATGTGGATTTTGAGGTTACAAGGAGGATATGCGGCACCAGGGGAAAAATAAATACATGATCCAATACGTTTTATTTCATATATGCTGTGAGGTTCCAATAATGTGGGAAGAGAAGTCTGTACAACACAAACACTATACATTTTTTTTTTAAGGTTGTCATTGGGCAGGCTATTTAACACAAAAAACACTGGTTTATTATTAGCCTACCTTGTTGTAGTCTGGATTGATAACCGGGATCGCGTGCAGCGCCTCCAAAAGAGCACGGGTCCGGTGGCCTGTCACTTCTGGAATGTCGGTTCTGGCACGCGTAAAAGTCACCGGAGGCACTCCAAACAACAGCACAAGAACATTTAAAACTATCAAAATTCACTGTTCTTATCACTTTAAACTGTTGTACTCCGTTATACAGTTAGCAGACTGAAAGAGTTGATAATAACCCCGCTACTTTATGGATTATTTTACATTCTGTTGAAATGAGTGCCGCTACACACCCACAACGATACAATAGGCTGTCCAAAGATTTTTATGGTATCGATTGGAGCACAGAGTTGTCAGTCAGACGGTGTGGGTTGGGTCCTACTTCAATACACGCGAGAGGGGACTTTGGGCCTCTGCTGCCACCACGCCCCACATTTTGGGGTTTGTAACGAGGTAATTGCTATCATGTGGGCAATTCAACTGAATTCCACAGGGTGTTTCTCAAATCAGGATTTGTCCATTACATAATGGGAACCCAAGCATAACTACTTCTTTGTACTGTGACTTCAAATATGAGGGAAGTCGAGCCTTATCATTCTGTTTTCAGAGCGGGAAGGATACCTTTTACAACAGTGTCATAATAATCGACCATAAAATGTATATTTTACTGTTATATTGACCATGTGAACGTCAGAGAACAGTGTGTTACTGTGATGTGTGTGTGCCTGTTTTGCACAGAAATAGGTCAATAGCCTATCTCTAGATCTCAGTGGCCACACCCCTCCCTCCCTCCCCACACCCCTCCCTCCCCTGACCCAATCACCCCCAAGAACCACTTATCACCAACATCCAGAAAGCATTCAGACCCCTTGACTTTTTCAACATTTTGTTACATTACAGCCTTATTCTAAAATGGGTTAAATTGTTTTTTTCCTTCATCAATCTACCCACAATACACACAATGACAAAGCAAAAAATAAATAAAAAACAGTAAATATTACATTTAAGTCAGTATTCAGACCCTTTACTCAGTACTTTGTTGAAGCACCTTTGGCAGCGATTACAGCTTTGAGTCTTCTTGGGTATGACGCTATAAGCTTGGCACACCTGTATTTGGGGAGTTTCTCCCATTCTTCTCTGAAGATCCGCTCAAGCTCTGTCAGGTGGGATGGGGAGCGTCGCTGCACAGTTATTTTCAGGTCTCTCCAGAGATGTTCGATCGGGTTCAAGTTCGGGCTCTGGCTGGGCCCCTCAAGGACATTCAGAGACTTGTCCCGAAGCCACTCCTGTGTTGTCTTGGCTGTGTGCTTAAGATTGTTGTCCTGTTGGTAGGTGAACCTTCACCCCAGTCTGAGGTCCTGAGAGCTCTGGAGCAGGTTTTCATCAAGGATCTCTCTGTACTTTGCTCCGTTCATCTTTCCCTCGATCCTGACTAGTCTCCCAGTCCCTGCCACTGAAAAACATCCCCACAGCATGATGCTGCCACCATGCTTCACCGTAGGGATGGTGCCAGGTTTCCTCTAGACGTGACGCTTGGCATTCAGGCCAAATAGTTAAAATCTTGGTTTCATCAGACCAGATAATCTTGTTTCTCATGGTCTGAGTCCTTCAGGTGCCTTTTGGCAAATTCCAAGCGGGCTGTCATGTGCCTTTTACTGAGGAGTGGCTTCCGTCTGGCCACTCTACCATAAAGGCCTGATTGGTGGAGTGCTGCAGAGAGTGTTGTCCTTCTGGAAGGTTCTCCCATCTCCACAGAGGAACTCTGGAGCTCTGTCAGAGTGACCATCGGGTTCTTGGTCACCTCCCTGACCAAGGCCCTTCTCCCCCGATTGCTCAGTTTGATGAGAAAACATGTGTTTTCAAAATGTTACAAATGTGGAAAAAAGGGAAAGGGCCTGAATACTTTCTGAATGCACTGTACATTCCCAGTGTTTCATTTGTAACTCGGGAGATGCAGGAACAAAACGTGAGCGCAAGAGAGGGGTGTTGGAGTTCTGGCCAGAACTGCATGAGAAAAAATGTATAATAATCACCTAAAAAAAATATATATATATATATATTTCACCTTTATATAACCAGGTAGGCCAGTTGAGAACAAGTTCTCATTTACAACTGTGACCTGGCCAAGATAAAGCAAAGCAGTGCAATAAAAACAACAACACAGAGTTACATATGGGGTAAACAAAACATAAAGTAAAAAATCCAACAGAAAATATATATACAGTGTGTGCGAATGTAGTAAGTTATGGAGGTAAGGCAATAAATAGGCCATAGTGCAAAATAGTTACAATTTCGTATTAACACTGGAATGAGATGTGCAAAAGATGATGTGCAAATAGAGATACTGGGGTGCAAATTAGCAAAATAAATAACAATATGGGGATGAGGTAGTTGGGTGGGCTAATTTCAGAAAGGCTGTGTACAGGTGCAGTGATCGGTAAGCTGCTCTGACAACTGATGCTTAAACTTAGTGAGGGAGATAAGAGTCTCCAGCTTCAGAGATTTTTGCAGTTCGTTCCAGTCATTGGCAGTAGAGAACTGGAAGGAATGGCGGCCAAAGGAGGTGTTGGCTTTGGGGATGACCAGTGAGATATACCTGCTGGAGCGCAGACTACGGGTGGGTGTTGCTATTGTGACCAGTGAGCTAAGATAAGATGGGGATTTGCCTAGCAGTGATTTATAGATGACTTGGAGCCAGTGGGTTTGGCGACGAATATGTAGTGAGGGCCAGCCAACAAGAGCGTACAGGTCACAATGGTGGGTAGTATATGGGGCTTTGGTGACAAAACGGATGGCACTGTGATAGACTACATCCAATTTGCTGAGTAGAGTGTTGGAGGCTATTTTGTAAATGACATCGCCGATGTCAAGGATCGGTAGGATAGTCAGTTTTACGAGGGCATGTTTGGCAGCATGAGTGAAGGAGGCTTTGTTGCGAAATAGGAAGCCGATTCTAGATCTAACTTTTGATTGGAGATGCTTAATGTGAGTCTGGAAGGAGAGTTTACAGTATAACCAGACACCTAGGTATTTGTAGTTGTCCACGTACTCTAGGTCAGCCCCCCCGAGAGTAGTGATTCTAGTCGGGTGGGCGGGTGCAAGCAGAGTTCGGTTGAAGAGCATGCATTTAGTTTTACTAGTGTTTAAGAGCAGTTGGAGGCTACGGACGGAGTGTTGTATGGCGTTGAAGCTCGTTTGGAGGTTTGTTAACACAGTGTCCAATGAAGGGCCAGATGTATACAAAATGGTGTCATCCGCATAGAGGTGGATCCGAGCGTCACCAGCAGCAAAAGCGACATCATTGCTATACACAGAGAATAGAGTCGGCCCGAGAATTGAACCCTGTGGCACCCATGGACTTTAGTGTCCCAAAACTTTTTGGAGTTAGTGCTACAGGATGCAAATTTCTGTTTGAAAAAGCTATCCTTTGCTTTCCTAACTGATTGTGTATATTGGTTCCTGACTTCCCTGAAAAGTTGCATATCGCGGGGGCTGTTCGATGCTAATGCAGTACGCCACAGGATGTTTTTGTGCTGGTCAAGGGCAGTCAAGTCTGAGGAGAACCAGGGGCTATATCTGTTCTTAGTTCTGAATTTTTTGAATGGGGCATGCTTATTTAAGATTGAGAGGAAAGCACTTTTAAAGAACAACCAGGCATCCTCTATCCTGGTAGGTTCGTTGATAATTTGTGTGAGATTGAGGGGATCTAGTTT